AAGAAATTTTGTCTATGTAGTAGGGTGTGCCTTTTTTAAAGTGAAAGATTTTATATACATTTTTTATCTCTTGAAGGGCAATCCAGGCTAAAATAGTTGAAAGTCATTTTAATGCAATTGAAAGATAGTAGGCAAGATAGTTTAAAACATTTTGTTCATTCTGACACGATAGTCTTACAGAAAATCTCTCTTACCAACTTTCATGGGGAAAAGCTCTTTTGACCTAAAGCACTTGTATATATTTTTTTGACAATCGCAATGGCCGAGTTAGCAACGCAGATCGAGAGATCCTCGGTCAGCGGTATTATCTTTTTTTTTATTTAATTTTCTTTTAAGTTTTTAGATTTTACTAATTTGAAAATAAAAATACTCGATATGAGTAGATTGAGTAAGGAGGCGAATAATCAACAAGAGTATTTCATTTTATTCTTTGATTTTATTTTTTTAAAACTATAAATATTTTTTTCTTAATTTTTCAAATTGATTTTATTATTATTTTTTAATTTAATCTTCGTTTAGTTTTTTATATTTTATTATTTCAAAACGCAAGTTATTATTTTTTCAATTCATTTCGATTATAGGATCTTATTTTTTCAAGTCTATACATTTTATTGTTTTAAAAAAACGGATGTAATTTTTTTCAGTTCCATTTAGTTTTTAGGATCCAATTCTTTTACTTTTATTTCTTCTGTTAAATTTTAGATTACATTATTTAAAAAAATTTATATTTTTTTATTTCATTTAGTTTTTAAGATCTTATTTTATTATTAATTTTACTTTTTTAATTTAGTTTTTTATTAACTTTTAAATTTGTTTGTGTAAAATGTATATATGTACATTCCTTTTAATTCAATTTAATTTGAGAAATTTTTTTAATTCCGTATATTTTATTTTACTTTTACATCTTATTATTTTAAAAAGAAAAATCTTTTTTAATCTCATTCAATTTTTAGAGAAATATTTTATTTTCTTACAAATACATTTTTTTCTTCTTATTAAATATTTTGTAACTAATTTTTAGATTTCATTGTTTAAAAACGATTTTATTAATTCAATTTAGTTTTTAGGATCTTATTTTTTACTTTTATATTTTTAACCGACTTCCAAAAAAGGAGGAGGTTATCAGTTCGTCGGGATATTTTTTTTGCACCGCATACCTTTGGACCACGTCAACCGATTTCGATAATTCTTTTTGCATCGGAAAGGCAGTGTCTTAGAGGTGGTCCCATACTAATCTGGCTTAATGGTACTCCTAATTTTGTATATGAGAATTAAAGTCGGTTTTGTTTTTTTGCTTAAAAATTGCTTGTTTCTTTTAGTTTTTAGATTATATTATTGTAAAAAGAATTATATGGGTCATTCCATACAATCTTTACACCTCAATATTTTTTTTAGGGTGAAATATATTTTTGTATATTCTTTATCGAAAAAAAGAAGACACCAATTGTTTTATTTCGTCATGATATTCGAAAATCCCGAAATTTTGAACTCACGGAGAAGTATCTTTTTTCAATTGTTTGCAGTTAATAAAAAATTTATCGGAGAAAATCTGTTAAGGTATCAAAATGTGCGTAATTACCTCGGCTTTTCTGTGGGAGTGTGAGATAGATTAAAATTAAACAAGTAATTTTTAGCAAAAAAAAAACCGACTTCAACTCTCATATAAAAATAATATATATATATATCTCATGATCCGCTGATCGGATCTTAACCATTAGTATGGGACCACCTCTGAGACACTACCTTTCCGATGCAAAAAGAATTATCGAAATCGGTTGACGTGGTCCAAAGTTATGCGGTAACATACATAAAAAAAAAAAAAAATATTCCGGCGAATTGATAACCTCCTCCTTTTTTGGAAATCGGTTAAAAATACATAAAGTTTACGGACGCAGGTATGAAAAAACTCGTAATTTCTACAGTTTTGGTGTTTCCATTCTCAAATTTTTACAACGTACTTCATAAAGTGTGACAACTATTCCGGTTGAAAAAAATAAAAATGATGAAGTTTATAAAAAATAAAAAATAAACTAACTCTTTTTTTATGCGAAATTTCTTTTAATTTTAATCTACCTCACACTCTCATGGAAGGCCGAGGTAATTACGCACATTTTGATACCTTAACTGATTTTCTCAGATAAATAGTTTATTAACTGCAAACAATTGAAAAAGACACTTCTCAGTGAGTTCAAAATTTGGGAAATTTTTTTTTGGGGATTTTCGAATATCATGACGAAATATACAAATTGGTGTCTTCTTTTTTCGATAAAGAATGTAAAAAAATATATATTTCACCCCAATTTCATTTACTTTAGTTTTTAGATTTGATTGTTAAAAAAAAAATAAATGTTTTTTATATTTTTTTATTTTTATTATTCATTAATTTAAAAATATGTTTTCTTAAACAAATTTTTGTTTCATTTTTTATTTAATTTTCCTTTAGTTTTTAGATTTTATTTTTTTTTAAAAGAAAACTATTTTTTATTTCCCTTAATTTTTGGGATCTTATTTTCTATAATATTTTTTTTTACTATCTTTTAATTTTTTGATTTTGTTTTTTATAAAAGGAACATTTATTTTTTAATCATCTAATTTTTAGAAACATTTTTAATTATTCTTTATTTAATTTTCTTTTAATTTTTATTATTTAATATTTTATAAAGAAAAATATAAATCTATATTTTTAAATTTATTTAAACCTTAGAAAACTTATTGGTCATAGACAATTATAATACCGCTAAGACCTCCTCGATAGAAGATCTTATAAGAAATCTTTCGAAAGACAGAAAAGAGCTCTCAAAACAATTGCCAGAATTGACAATTATCTCACGAGAGACTTTTAGTTAGATTGGTTCGACCGAATCTAGTATCCTTCCATTTGTAACAAATTTAGTCTTATAGCACTACAGCCTGCCTGAAATTGCCCAAAAATTTTCACCACATAACGCCATGTCAAAAATTAAAATTTCATATGTTCGGCGCTAGCGCCTCGTTTTTGAGGGATGCTTTATACAAATTGTAAGGGAATGTGTATTTTTTACGGTTGCTTATCGCTTGACGCACCAATTTAGGAATGGCAGTTTGTCATACGTATAAAGATATTTGGGAATGGAATCCCACAGATCATTTATGTACATATATTTTATCGATGAGGATTAAGCGGAATTGGGAGCCGGTTGCAAAAGTTCTCAACTGTAGGTTGCAATTGCACCATTCCGACGTTAAACTTTCATCACGTTAATGCAGATGTCTGCAATTCATTCACTGATGGGTGTGAACCTGTAGAAAAAATGTTGCAGTCTCCGCCCAAAACCAAATCTCACTCCAAATTTGTGCGTCGTCTTATGTCAGGTGGCATATGCAAGAATGATAGAATCGCTGCATCGTAGGACATTTATATATATCGTAAGCCGCAAATTTGTTGCTGCTATCGACAGCAAGTTGCACACATGGGAAAACGGGACAAAGTTAAAACATAAATTTGACAGATGTTAAGACACATTTAGTAGAAGGTGGAGACGTTGGGTTAGGGTAAATTTAAACACTTTACCTACAACTTTAAGGGCAAAGGTGAAAGGGAGCATGTAGATGAAGAAAATAATACACATAAAGAAAAAGGATGAGGATAAGGATACCGATAAAAGTAAAGATGAAGATAGAGGAATAAGATTAATATAAAGGTTTGGAGAGGTTGAGGATACCTATAAAAGTTAAGATGAAGATAGAGGAATAGAGATTAATATAATGGTAAGGTTATTTTCGTTATATTTATCTATCTTGCTATCGATATTATTTTCTGTATACTTGTCGATATCTATGTACATAATATTGAATCGATTTTGTTACCGATTATTTAAATATATTTTTATCGATGTAATAATCGATATTATTATTTTTACAAAAAAACGATACTGTTATTAATATATTTATGAACATATTTATCGATGCTGTTATCGATATTTGTATCGATATAATAATCGATTTTGTTATCATGTTTTATCGATATTTTTATCGATTTTATTATATATGTATGTTTTTATCGATATTTTTATCTATTCTGTTATCGACATTTTTATTAATTTTGTTATCGATATTAGAACGAAAAGGGTAGAGGTAGGGATAAAAGTAGAAAAAAGATAAAATATAACCTTAAGCTTGTAAGATTATATTAAGTCCTGTCGTTTTATTCACAATTATGAACCAATGAAATGTATACGTACATATGTATGTATGTATGTACATGTATATTGGTCAAGAAACCAACTAGATATGTAACGTAAATTTCACTTCTCCGGTGTGGACCAGGCGCACTTTCTTTTTTTGCATTATTTAATTTTAAGCCTTTTAATTTGTTGTTTTTGTTTATTTCTGCTTTTTTCTTAACACATAGTAAGGTTTTTTTTAATATGCTTATTTTACTTATCACATTTTCCATGTTTTTATTTCTTCTTTTTATAAAATTTTACTTTCTCTGTTTCGTCTACTTAATTTCATTTTACTTTTTATTTTAATTCCCAATACATTATGAGTTTTAGTGTAAACTGAATTATTTTTAATTAATTTTGTTGAGTTTTATTTAAATTTTTTCTTCATGTACTGGTTTTATTTGATTTTCTTATTTTATTTTATTATATTTTAACTTGTTAATTTCTATATTTCATAAAATGTTGCTTTGTTTTTTTCGTTTTTATTTGATAATATGTTAATTATATTTGGTTTTTAATATTTAATTTTATAGACGTTCATTATTTTTCATATTATTTTGGTTTTGCTGGATTTTCTTATTTTAACTTACTTTATTTCTTGATTTTTTAATACAAATTTTTACCTCCCGGTGTTTAATTTTATTTAATTTCATTTTACATTTAATTTAATTCTATACTAACTTAAATTTTATGTATAAAAAATTATTCAGAAAACTGTAAGAAGACCGCTATTAGGACCAAGTACCGAAGGTATGATTCTTCATACCGGGTACCCATTTTCAGATATCGTGAATTTCAGTCATTCACAATAGGTCTTATATTCATCGCCTGTGAAAATTTGGATGCAATTATCTGTCAAACACAGTCAACAAGCGCAAATGCACGCGCGTAAAATTAAAAAAGTTTCACGAGATTGTTAAATTATTTCACCAAAAGCCAAAAAAAAGCTACAAAACGTATATAAAATTTTCTTTGGTGTACATTCAGTTAAAGAATTAAGTAGCAACTATGTCGGGATTTTCGTTTGGAACACCATCACAACAACAAGCTGCGGGTTTCAGCTTCGGTGCACCAACTGCAACGGGTGGAACCAGCGCGCCTGCTTTCGGTGCTGCAGCCACAACAGCGGCGCCCGCATTTGGCGCCGGCACCGCCGCTGCACCAGCATTCGGAGCAGCACCTGCTTTTGGTGCAGCCGCTACCTCACAGGCGCCAGCATTTGGTGCCACCGCGCAACCAACAGCTACCGTAGCACCATTTAGTGCAACTGCGGCGGCTGCAGCACCCGCCTTTGGCGCTACACAAGCATCTGTCGCACCCACATTTGGAACACCTGTGGCTGCAGCACCAGCATTCGGTGCAACCGCAGTAAGTAGTGCAGCGCCCTCGTTTAACTTTGGCGGCGGTCTAGGAGGAGCAGCTACATTAACTACTGCTACGAATCCAGTGCCAGCATTTAGTTTTGGTGGGCTAGGCGGCACAGCTGCCACAACAGCAGCGACTTCTACGGCACCGTCATTAGGGGGTTTAGGTGGTCTAGGGGGTGGTTTGGCATTTGGCAAACCAGCAACTACAACCACCTCGGCTAGCTTGAATTTCGGTACAACAACCACGTCTGTAGCGTCAGCCGGAATGTGGAAACCAACAGTCACCTCAACTACGGCATCGGCTACACCATTTATTGGCTTAGGTGGAGTTGATGTAAGTGCAACACAGCCAAAAGCAGGAGATTTGAAGCAAGATGTAAAGGTAAAGTATATGTTGTATACGCCCGTATAATAGTTTTCTCTACATTTTTTTTAATTCAGGTGAAAGAAACACTTGTGCCCGACGAAATTGCCAAAACCGTGGACGCACTAAAATCACACATTAAAGCGCAAAAGACACTTTCTTCCGATATCGGACGTACATCGACTTCGAAGCTAACCAATGTTTCCAACGAAATAACCAATATTCAATGGGCCCTTCAAGAGATCTCCAACTCAGTGGACACTAATTACAAACAAATAAAATTGCTGCGCAAGGAAACTTCGAAAACTATACAGGCAGTAGAAATGGCTCAGCGCACACAAGATACACCAGCTGGCTTGCAATTCGAAAATACTGCACCTTTCCAATTTTTTCAGGGTTTGGTTGCCAAGTATGAGCATGATTTGATTAACTTCCGACAGCAAATAGCGCTTACCGAACATCACATGCGTTCGTTAACCAACCCGCAGACGGTGTCGCCGGAGGATATAAAACGTGGTTTCCGCCAAATCAATGAGAGTTTTATTTCACTAGCTGGCCGTTTGCAGGAACTGCATCAAAAAGTTGAAACACAAAAGGAACAATTTCTCAACTTGCGAAAGTATCGTCTGCGAGACACATCGAATGTCTTTTCGAAGATCGACAATCCCGAAAGCAAAGTCGACACAACAAATGTCACCTGTGGACCGACACCTTTTTCTAATATTTCAGCGATGGGCGCATTTGGAAAAAGTTTTAGCAATGCGTCCGCTGGAGCCGCAGGTGCAAGTGGGAGAGCAGCGGGAGCAGGCAACACATAAATGGGGAAAACTAAATAAATAGTTCAGTAAATAAAAATTTGTACATTTTAGCATTGGCAGTAATTTTGCAAAATTGTTGTAGTTACATATTTTCAGAGCTTTTTTGTAGTTTTTGTCAGAAGCAAGTTTACTACTAAATATTTGCAATCATTTTGGAATAAAAAAGTGAATTGAATGCAAGTTTCTTGTTTTCAAATCGGGAGCAGTACAAGTTGTATTTGAGCTTGAGGTCTGATTAGATGTGAGGATCTGTAAATTGTTTTTCCAAAAATAGCCCTAAGCTTAAATACAATTCTTTTGAAGTTTATAACACGAAAATTTTAAATGCATGCACTGCTGAATATTTTACAAGATTTGTTAAATTTATTAAATGTGAGGCTGCATAAAAAGACTTCATACATTTCTTTATAACTTTCTTAAAACAAAAAGTATGAGTAATACACACTAAATCATACTTCTACCCTGTCGGAAGCTCCAACAACGAAAATGAGAACATGCCTAAATCTGCTATAGCTTAGCATTTTATTCAGCAACCATCTTTTTCATTTAGCAAGCTAATATATTCCATCTTTGATAAATATTTCTTCAAATTGCATATAAAAGATAATTTGCTCAGAATTTGAACAATTTTTTTCGATTATATATATTTTTGTATGATTTAATAATAAACGTAATTAAAGGTTTTAAGGGAAGGCCTGCAATTTGCCAATGCGTAAGCAACATTTAACACAATCTCAACGCAATAATTAGTATATATCATCGGCATTTATCATTTCTTAATAACTTGTATTACGTCCTCGTCGGCCATAATATGCGATATACCGACGCGTTGTGGCGAATATTTAGTAGAGGTGCCCCAGACAAGCGCATACTTGAACTGAGCAGCCAATGTACGATGAATAGCATGGCATACATGTTCTACGGTGACACCCTATAATGAAAAAATATATATATAATTGACATTACAATGAGTTGGTAGTATTAAATCGCCACGCAACTTACCTTTCGTAAAATCAAACCATCATCGAAATCTGGAGGTGCACCAGGTTTCTTCGTATAAACGCGTATCAGCTGCAACGCCTCCCACAACGCCTCTAATAGATAGTCCAAATTGAGTTTCATATTACAACTGACCACAATCGAATTAGCCTCACGCGCCAAGCGATCAACCTCCTCAATTGAAATCTGATCAATTTTGTTGTACACATACAAGCAGGGCAAATACACACGATTCGCCGTCACCACATCGATAAACTCATCTTCGGTGCAGTCCTCACGGAAAAGTACCTCCGCATTGAAAATTTTGAATGAGTGTAAAATAGTTTGTACCATTTTCTCATTGCAGCGTGACAGTGAACAAGTAGAGTTAAAGCTTAGGCCACCACCTTTTTTCTGCTTGAAGTAAATGTTTGGTTTACGTTTATTCAGTCGTATGCCCACCGATTCCAATTCACGTTCGAGCAAATCACGATGAACATTCGGTTTTGTGGCATCCAACATCATAATGACTAAATCGGCAGTGCGCGCTACGGCGATAACCTGCCGACCACGACCTTTGCCCTAAATTGAATAAAAGAAATAAATTTTATGATTAGTTCTTGCAACTATTTGCAATTTATGTATGTATTTGAATGTAAGTAGATATATTTACCTGAGCAGCACCCTCGATAATTCCCGGCAAATCGAGCAACTGTATATTGGCACCTTTATAATCGATGACACCCGGTATACAGGTAAGAGTCGTAAATTCATAGTTCGCCGCCTCCGATTCGGTCTTGGTGAGCGTAGAGAGCAAAGTAGATTTACCCACGGATGGAAAACCGATTAATGCAACACGCGCATCACCACTTTTGAGCACATCGAAACCTTCACCTTTTTCGCCCTTCTTGGCTGGTTCCAGCAGCTGCGAACGATATTTGGCAAGTTTCGCCTTTAACAGACCCAAATGGTATTCAGTTGCTGGCAAAGACAAATAACTTTTAATGTTATTTTTCGCCAATAAACAATATTTTAAAATAGGTCAAATCTTCAGCAGCTATAAATTTTTAATTCGTCAGTTATTTAGTATGATTGTGTATAATTATACTTGATCAAAGTTATTGGCTCATTTTATTTATTTTCATAAAAATTGTTAACCTACAAGCATTTATTAAGCTGCTAGAGCCAAAAACAAAAAAACGCATTTGCCAGCGGAGCACGCACGTCTCGTGCAGCGCGACCACACCAAGGCCGCTGGTTCGTCTCCAACTTACCTTTGTTCTTTTGCGTGCGCGCGATTTCCTTCTCAATTTCTGAGATCTTCTCCAAGATACCCATCTTAAAAGCTCTTTCAATATACTATTTTATTGACAAAGCATTTGTCTATTTTTTGGAAATAATTTATTTTCCTGCGTTCGCCTGATTGTAAATTGCTGCCGCTGCCTCTGCCGACGTCACTGCTATCGGCTTGAATAAATGGGCAACTGTCAAATAATGGTGAATGGTTCGCGTGCCAAAAAGCATTCACAGTGAATTATTTTAGTTTAGACTGCTTTTACACTGTTCAAGTATTGATTTGTGCTCGCATGTGCCGCAACAAAAGCTTTCGTGTCTGAACATCGATTAAGTTGAATCAAAAGTTGGCTGCATCCCAACTCCATTGGGAGCGATTAGTTGAAAGGCCGTTCACACCAGGCGATTGTTACTTGCAACTAAAAGTTGCATGGAGTACTGGATCAGAGCTATTATGTTGTCTCAGATCTAAGCCAATAATAATTGGCCACAAAGGATTAAGTCAAAACATATCTTTAGCCCGCGCAATTCATTCGAAGGTTATGAATTTGGAAAATTAAACTTTGGCTGGTAATATCTAGGGTATACGTTAATTTTTATAAACTGGACGATATATCAAGTGAAATGTTTTTAAATTTAGTACCTCACGTTCATATATCATATTTCAATACTTTCACTGCAAGTTTTCGAGATATTTAGAAAAACTTACAAAAGCAATGGCTTTCCCATATAAGTTTTCAATTCTTCATTACTTTAGTGACCAAGTGAAAATTAATAAAAATTAGACGAGATTTATTTCAAAGATTTTTATGGTTTCGGGTGTTTATATAATATTTAAGGAACTAAGGACTTGGGCACGCCAATTTGTTAAGTTTTCAAAATAGTAGTAAATGGTTTAAAATACGGATGTCCAAGGCTCGGAAATTTTTGATTATGAAATAGTAGTTTCAAACAAATACATACATAAGTACATATATTAACTAAATAAAGTTCAGTTGAGCAACGCCCATTTTCTTGAAAATTTGAGCGGAAGAAGCACATTTTTTGCGGTTTCTAAATTTACAGTTAATCGAAAGCGTTCAACAAGAAGAGATTCCAAAACTTTGCAAAAGAGAGGCTTAGGATTCGAAGGGCCAGTTTTTCAGTACCAGTTTAGACTTAGATTACGTAAACTGCGTTTTAGCTGAGTTAGGCATACTTGGCGTTGAATGAGAGTTATCAGATAAGGATAAATGAGCTCTTTGCGTGTAATGCAGCGTTTTTGCTGCATTTAAAATCCAACATTTAGCGCTTTCGAACATATTTTTTTCGAAGAGCGTTCATGCTATCGCATTTAGCAAATGTACAGTTACGTGAGTTCGAAATCGTATGCTTTTGACAAAGAGCCGTGTTCCAGTCGCTTATTCAGATCCGCATCTATTACGATCAATTCTCACGGAAAAGATAATGTGCAAAAAACCCTACTGAAAAGGAAAAACTACATTTTAAACCAAAAATTCAATACAAAAACTTGAATTGTTTTAACCATAACCAAAAATTTGTTAGTGTATGTATTAATTTTTTCGCTGCTGTCAATTAAAATTTCCTTACTTAATTAGGAAACAAAACGAACAGAGTTGGTCACAAATTGATCCAGATTTCTATCAGCATCACATCCTTGTCGAATTTGCGTAACTTTTGTTTATCCAAATAATGTAAAATAATAAACGAAATCTTGATCGGCGATCATTGAAACGCAGCTAGCCACTGTTTACGCGAAAAAGCAATGTTGCCACTTTTTTTCATTAAACCATGTTCGAATCGTGGAAATTTTGGAAGATCACATTGTTACTTTTAGCATTTAGATTCTTAAGCTGAAATTAGTCGAGAACGCAGAACGTATACTTAAACGCAGTCTGTGTACGCAGAATTTTGTCGATTACTGGAGCCCTCAGTGTTGCTTACTACACTGTTGCCACTCATCAATGGCTTTTCATAAACTTACCCTTTCAACTACAATTTTTCGTGCTATAATAGATTTTAGCTAAATATAAAATACTTAGTTTTCAACAAAAACCTTATTCAATACTAAATTTCAAATATTTTAAATATATTTTGAATAGGAACTTATATCTTTTTTACTATCTGTAAAACTGACGAAGTGGCAACCATTTAAAGAAGGAGAAATCAGCTGACACGGAAAATTCTGCGGTGTTGAGTTTTCATTTGCATGGCGCTTTGGTAAGACAGATCGTGTCAGCTGACTCGGGCTTACGTACCGGCAGGTTTACGTTCTTGACTAATTTCAGCTTTAATGCAAAAATGGAGTTGCATTTAGGGCCGGTTGTTCAATGTCTGGTTATCACTACTTGCCGGTTAAACATCATTATCGACGATTTCGACATCATGTATATAACATGTGATCGATAAAGCAGTCGTTGAATCTAACCGGAGCTTCTACCTCCGATTTGTACTAATCAGACATTGAACAACCGGCCCTTAGTTGCATTTAGGTGACGAATTTTGTATGGATAAATGTACATTTAGAGTAGCATTTAGAGCTAAATGCGCTAAATGTGCTTTTACGCGTAAGCAAAAACAGGCCATAAGCGATTACCCAAAGCACAGCTTTACATATGTAGAATTTTGTTGGGTTTTTATTTCTACGTAAAAATCTTACTCCGCGTCTCCACCTTCTACAGATTCTGTACTGTTAAACCTGTCTTGCCGAATTTCTTACCATCGCTGTCTTAACATCAGCAGTCATTTCGTAGTTTGACAACTCAGTTTTCATGTTACCGCGCTATTTACATTGGGTACAGATCGATCTCATTGGCTTGGTGCCAGTTGGAAAATGATATATTAAGACATCAGAAAACGGGCCAAAGTTAAAACAGAAATTTCACAGATGTTTAGTAGAAGGCGGAGACGTGGAGTTAGTTTTAACCAGCCAGCTCTCGCGTTTAAACTACATCCGTGCACTAACAGGAATCCTTACAGGACACTGCAGATTAAGGGATCACCTACATGTGTCGGGCATGTGTGCTATTGATCTTCGCAGGCTCAGTAGCTTGACCAACAATAACTGCTTCACATTCTCACCGAGTGCGATCAGTCTGCAGAAGACGTGAGAGGAGTCTAGGCTCGATGTGGCCACAGCTTAAGCACATCCACTCCCTACCCCC